TTTGCTTGCAATCCAATAGATGTTTTGTAGGCAAAATTGGTTTTGGGAACCCTTGGTAAAGTAAAATTCCCTTAACTTTCCTTTAGAGTAGTTGTAATTGTAAATAATTATTATGATATTTATAGAGCGAGACAAAAAAAAAGGATATTTACAAAAATATCTATTTAAAATTGTTCAGAAGATTTATGTGAATATGATTGAAAATGAAAATAAATCAATTTGTGAAATGTACTCAAGTTGGACGTGTTTAGAAACCACCTGGATACTCTGGAACGGTTTAGAAACCACCTAGATACTCTAGAACGGTTTAGAAACCACCTGGATACTCTGGAACGGTTTAGAAACCACCTGGATACTCTGGAACGGTTTAGAAACCACCTGGATACTCTGGAACGGTTTGATGGAATGTTCTGGATAATATTATATAATATAATATCCAAAACATTGTCCAAAGCAAGGGATTTCCATTGTGCTCTAGAATTAAGGTAACATTTATCATCTGCATCCAATCTGTATACGTAATCCAAACCAGAACAAGGAACTACCCGATATAATGTGATCGTACCGAATACAAATTTACTCACGACAGAGCCCAAAACTTTTGTAGAAATCAATATATTTTTAAAATATATACAAATGTTATAGCCTGGATAGACACATGGTACTCTTCTCAAATCTTATGAAATTCGAAATATCTAGTTATTGCAAAAAATCGCTTTGCGGCCATGATTGTAGACATGACTAGGGTTGTTCATAAATTTTGAAAATGTTCGAAAAAACGATCGTTTAATGTCTTTTTTAAGCACGATGGTTCCCAACGAACAAACCAGTCGTTTTTAATTAAAAAAACGAAAAAGAACTTTCACTATTCTTAAAATCTAAACCCTGTGCTGTTAACAAATTTCAGAATTTGGCAACCGAATCTAGACTAAAAATAAAGCTTTTGCGTTTAAGAAAATTTACCAAGAATATTATACTAAAATACTATTCCAGACAGCTATTTTTAGTAATATTTGTATTCCAATTTGATCAGTCTAAGAGAAAAATACTTCAAAATATGTCTAAATAACATGATAACCGCCAATTTGATATAAAAACAAATAATAAATATAAAGGATGAGACTGTAAAGACGACTAAAGATTCTAAAGATATGTCGATCCAAAGGTAAAATTCTGCCTTCAATAAAGACTGTTAATAGCGTGTTATAATTTGACAAAAAAAGAAACAAGCTTACAGTTGCAGGGACTCATGAATATAAGTAAACAGACAGAATAAATTCTGTAAAGTCGTCTCAGAATAAATTCTGTAAAGTAGTCTCTAAAGTCTCATCCTTTGTGGGTAACCCTATATTATATTTACTGTTTTGAAAGTTTTTTGAATTGTTTCCTTTAAACTATGACTGCATATTTAATATCAGACTTGATCGTCTTTAAACTGTTAATTTTTTTGGGACACATTGTATTTAACATTAGGAGCCAGCAGAATAACAGTAAACATAATCTTAAAGAGACAGGGTGTCCCAGTGTGTCCCATGGGGTGTCCCAGTGTGTCCCATGGGTTGTCCCAGCATGATAATCTTTCAAGTTTCATGAGTTAAATGCTTGATTGACAGTGGAACCGTTAAACAATATGTCCAAGTAACATTGAGTAATTTAAAAATAAAAAAATAATTTTTGTCCTTTTTCTTCTATTTTCTGCTAAAAATAAAAATAAGAATATCTCCATATTTTTTACAGGAAAAGGTGAAAAGGGGGTGCCATTTTAAAACGGGCATGTGTGGCCACTTTTGAAAACTTGGACGTTGTCCCTTTGGATTTTCTTATTAGACAGAAATAAGCTAATCTTCATTGATAGACAGAAGTCCTTCCATAATCTTCCTAGATAAGGCAGAAATGGAAACTGGGAGAATTCTGTTTAAAAATAATTTGCAGTTATACGTAATTCAAAATTTAAATAATCTTGGATTTAGTCCCGCTTACTTTTAAAAATTTGTAGATAAATGGCATAAAATCCGCAGATTAAAGTGCCTAAAGCCTGATTATCTGGGGGTTGGTGAAAATGTTGTTAGCAGTTAGAATAATTTTTAAGATAAACAATGTTTATTTAACATTTTTTTGTTCAATTGTTGAGTGTTGAGAATTGATTTTTTTTTTAATTATTAAATAACGACGACAAAACATTGATTACAAATTCTACAGTAAACTAATTAGATGTTTAGGAACATATTTCTCAATAGAAAGGAATTGAGTTTTTGACACAAACTCAACTTTTCTAATCCTTACATATTTGCAACCTGATGGGGAAAATCTGTAATATTTCAAACTTAAATTATTTGACCTAACAAATGTCATAGTTTGAAACATCAAACGTCTTAAACATTAGGTTACAAAGATATCGGGACTAGAATATCAGAGTTTGTGACAAAAACTTAATCCATTTGTCAATAAATCAATGTTAGAATCGATTGTTTTCTAAAAAGTGGAAATTGCGCAGAAACTTCAGAAACAATGGAGGCAGCTGTCACAATTAAACACTTTTCCAGATAGAAAAACGGAAATGTCACTTTTTAAATGGAACTTCACTTGAAATTGCAACGACAATACCTTTAAAAATTGAAAATTAAATTTGTGTAAGTTTGCTGAAGCAATTTTCTTTAGCCTTATTGCTAAGCAAGTTTTGCATTATTATACTTGAGATGCAATAGTAACCCAGAAAACAGATGAGGCAAGTTTTGCACCATTATACTTGAGATGCAATAGTAACCCAGAAAACAGATGAGGCAAGTTTTGCACCAGTATACTTGAGATGCAATAGTAACCCAGAAAACAGATGAGGCAAGTTTTGCACCAGTATACTTGAGATGCAATAGTAACCCAGAAAACAGATGAGGCAAGTTTTTGTATTTTGTAATTGTTACTTATTTTTTTCTAGTCACTAGTCAGTGCACTCAATTACTTTTCAATACAAAAATTTAATAAAAAGATCCCATTTTACATGACCATGCAATACAGGATTCAACACTTAAAAGTTATACAATACTTCATTCCCAAAGAATCATTATGTAAAGATAGTACATCATCACTCTATACACTATAACCTCGTTGGTAAAGATAGTTATTTCAGAGGTGTACGCATTTTTTGTACTGCTGAGCCCAAAACTTAAGACAGGGTATCGTTATGAAAACCAGTTTTGGAACCCGGGTTTCACAAATGGGTTTACCCAGTTTTGTAGATATCGATATTTTTGTTTTGAAATATTATTTATTTAATCCTTTATATCTTACCATTTTTATCAAATCTCTTAAATCAAAATCTCCACAAATAATAAGACCCCAAAAAGGAAACTCGGAAGTTTCGTTCAACGATACTCTTTTAAATTTCAGGCTCTGTGCTCTGTCTCTGAGCCCGAAATTTAAAAGAGTATCATTGAACGAAACTCCCGAGTTCCCTGTTTGGGGTCTTATCATTTGTGTAGATTTTGATTTAAGAGATTCGACAAAAGTGGAGAATATGAAGAAACTAAATAAAAAATATTTCATAAAGAAAAATATTGATATCCAAAAAAATGCCTAACCCCATTCGTGAAACCCGGGTTTAAAACTGGTTTTCATAATGATAGCCTGTCTTAGGTTTTGGGCTCTTTGCTGTAAAGTAAACACAAGAAGGATGTCAGCAGCCTGGCATGAAAATGGAATCCATCTTTCACATGAAAAATCAATGAAATATTTTGGTCATAGGAAACAAGAATATATGCATATATTCTTGTTTACAAACAAAGCCCAGAGAGAACTGGTTTCAATATGTACGCAGAGAATAAGCAATGAAGTAAATATTTCCATTTACTGATAGCGCCGATACAAGGATTCATAACTCTGATTGGATAAAAAGATAGATAGAAAGAAAGATTTTACCGCCAAACTATTTCTATTGGTTCAGAATAGACATCAAACACATGACTGAACACTTATTGGATCAGGCACTAATGGACTCGGCATACAGGAGTGACTTGAATGTTAGATTTGGTCTTCTGCCTTCGAAAACTCTTTCCTTGGCTTATTTCCTTGGCTTGGTGAAGAAAGACAGTAGTTTTTTATTGCAAGGACACATGCACGTAACTGTAAGAAATGAGAAAAAGTACTTAAAAACTTAGTCTCTGAAGTCTCATCCTTTGTGGTGAATTCTCAGCTAACTCTTGGCAGTGCAAAATCTTGCAAAGAAACATGATTTTAAAAAGTTTAGATATTTATTTTAACATGAATAAAAACAAGGGAATTGGCACATAAATAGATAGGGAACTATTAAAAAAGGGAATGAAATTTAACTAAGATACAGAGTTTTAAATCAGTTTCTTTCACAAGAAAGTAAAAAAGGAATTGTCTTGAAGGCATATTATTGGTAAAATCTAACCAGCCGTAATATTAAATTTAAAAAATAACTTCTGTCTTCAATAAAGGTATTAATATCTCGCCTCAAACTCAAATATTCTACTCCTATATCTACAGCATCCTGATATCTTAGACCTTAGACTTTTAAACTAAAAAATGTTTATTAGATCAAATAGTATAAGATTTAAATACTCTCTGAATATCTGGTGGAAAAATATGTTTGAGTTATTGTCGAGAAATGAGCTAATTATGTGCAATAAACTTAGCCCATGTTTTTTCCCCAGCACAAAGTTTAGAATACAGCCCTTTCCTTAATTTACTAACTTGATAAAAGACATCAGAGATGAAAACTTTTAAATGGTCGGACTAAGTTAATTAAATTCTTTCAATGCAATAAAAGTAACTGCGATCTTTTTTTCACTTCTGAAAATAAGAGGTTAATAGATTTAACCCATCTCTTATTGGTCGTAACTTAGAAGTTTCCACCAATAGAAGAGATCTAGAGAGAAGAATTTTAACTTATCCCCCGTTCGTTCAAAGGTGGTCAACTCTGTGTAAAAGATTTTTCTCCTTCAATTTTGAATTTATATATAAATCTGATTTGAATTGTTCACCCTGATTTACCAAGAATATTATTATACAAGATAGTTTAAAGACTAAAGATATGAAGATCACAAATAAATAATAAATATGACTAGTTACGTAATGCCCGAGAAAGGTTTCATTTAGGATTTAAAGCGAGAGATTTCGCGCATTTTTTAAAAGATGGCGTCTCTTCATTACAAAGACGACATCGCTGAAAAAACGGGAAATCTCTGTCTTGTTGAAGATCTATTTCTTGAGCATGGTGTTTATGATTACAATGATTATAGCACAGATTCTACAAGGTTTGATTCAAGCAGAGAAATATTGACAGCTTTGCCTTCTCTTTTTACAGCAGGGTTAGCAGCCTCCATAGCAGCCAACACATCCTCGTTCAGGGAATAAAATGACGGAGCCTGAAATATTTATCAAAGTTAGAAAATAAACAAGCTCAAAACCAACCATTCACAGAAAAAAAAATCTATTAAAATCTAAGAATTTACAGTTGTATCCAAAAAGTACAGGGTAATGGGTTTATGTTATTTGCTTACTAAGAATTTAATGCACCGTTAAAAAGTGGATCCAATATTAATATCTTCTAATTTTAAGAGAAAAAAAATCAATTAAGTCTTTGTCACAAACACTGATATTCTAATCCCTTTATCTTTGCAACCCTTACCCAATGTCGTATACTTTAGATATTTCAAACTATGATTTTTTTTTGATAAATTATACTAAGGTTGCAACGATATAAGGATTTCAAAGTTGGAGTTTGCGGCAAAGACTCATCTGGATTATAAACATTTTTTGAGAATAATTTTCCATGTCTTTTAGATTTTTATGAAACTAATGTGTACTTGTTCATTCTTACTCACTTCATGGTAAAATTTATTATGAACGTGCTAAAAAGTAATTATCGTGCTATAAAGTTAAATTAGCTGTAGATTATAGCACGTGTGCTATAAAGTTTGATTGGTTCCCGGATTATCTTCAAAAAATTTTGGATATTTCCATAATATTTTTTAATTGAAATGAAAATAAAATTGAAATTAACTTTATATTTTTATCTCTGCATCCTTAAAAAGCTTATTTTATCTAGAAATAACCATTGCAATAAGGCAAGTACACAAACGTTTCCTAAAATTACCTATAACACTAATATTATTTTGGCATGCGACGTGCTATAAAGTTGTTGGGACTTAAATTTTCTCTGTATCTTGAAGGTTCTCACCTTTTTAAATTAAATTTTGTCTCGAGCTTTAGAGAAAATATCTGTCCAAAATCTTTATAACACTGTAAACCAAAATTATAGTGTTAGAAATAGTTATTATAATTTTTATTTACCAGTGCACAGTCTACGTTGAACCACCAATTGCAGACAAAATACTGCTGATCAAACAGTGTTCCATTGGGACAGAGGAAATCATACTTTACCAATCCATTTTCAGGTCCAGCACAGATATGATACAGCTGACAGTCAGCATCTGTATCAGCATAGTAACCAGGAACCTAACATAATAATAATATGATACATCTGACAGTCAGCATCTGTATCAGCATAGTAACCAAGAACCTAACATAATTATAATATGATACAGCTGACAGTCAGCATCTGTATCAGCATAGTAACCAGGAACCTAACATAATAATAATATGATACAGCTGACAGTCAGCATCTGTATCAGCATAGTAACCAGGAACCTAACATAATAATAATATGATACTGCTGACAGTCAGCATCTGAATCAGCATAGTAACCAGGAACCTAACGTAATAATAATATGATACAGCTGACAGTCAGCATCTGTATCAGCATAGTAACCAGGAACCTGACATAATAATAATATGATACAGCTGACAGTCAGGACCAGTCACCTGACATTAAAATAATATGATACAGGGATAGGATAGCATTTAGTAATCCTTCAGAAAGAATACATTTAAGATTTTGGGAAACTTAAACTATGGAATAGAAAGACTACTGTTAGATTCAAGAAGTATGATTTGTTATACTACAAAACATATGAATACAGCAATTGCAGAGAAGAAAGTTCCAAACCATGATTTGGCCAAAAAATGACTTTTTAACTGTTAATATTCTTCACGTCAAGAAAAAAATTTAAATATTAAACCCGTAGTAGTACATAAATTTTAATTTCTGATTATTTTGATTTTATTTTAAAACATGTTACATTTCTAAAGCAAATGCTAATTTGTGGGCTAAAGATGTTTTGGAACATGTCGCGGTGTTGAGACATTAACAGATTTGAATTAATGATACTTTACAAGCATTTGCACAATAAGATAAAGTTTAGATTTGAAAGAATAAAATTTTCAAAACTATATACTGTTCTGATATTTCAAAATATAACGACTTCTAACATTGAAATATATATATTTACAAAGGAAGGATATTTACCTGTCCTTCACAAAGGAAAGATAGTAACCTGTCCTTCTCAAAGGATATTTACCTGTCCTTCTCAAAGGAAGGATATTAACCTGCCCTTCTCAAAGGAAGGATATTTACCCGTCCTTCTCAAAGGAAGTATATTTACCTGTCCTGTTCAAAGGAAGGATATTTACTTGTCCTTTACAAAGAAAGGATATTAACCTGCCCTTCTCAAAGGAAGGATATTTACCCGTCCTTCTCAAAGGAAGGATATTCACCTGTCCTTCTCAAAGGAAGGATATTTACCTGTCCTTCTCAAAGGAAGGATAGTAACCTGTCCTTCTCAAAGTATATTTACCTGTCCTTCTCAAAGGAAGGATATTTATCTGTCCTTCTCAAAAGAAGGATATTTACCTGTCCTTCTCAAAGGAAGGATATTTACCTGTCCTTCTCAAAGGAAGGATATGTACCTGTCCTTCTCAAAGGAAGGATATTCACCTGTCCTTCTCAAAGGAAGGATATTTACCTGTCCTTCACAAAGGAAGGTAGTATCTGGAGGAAGGGAAAAGATACAGACAAATATTTCTTATTCAAATGAAGTACCCGTCTGTAAAGCTTGTATAATCATATGGTAGGGCGAACCGCGTCAGTTATATCTCCCTTCTATTAAAAAAAGACAACTTTTTCATGGACTGCGAATTTTTTTCCCGGTTTTATTTTATCCATGAAAAGGTTGTCCTTTGTGAACCTTAACAGACATGATATTAAAAAGTACTTTATTAATTCTAATGCACATGAAAGACTAAAATTATTTTATTAACTTTGAACGACGTGATAGAGTAAAGGAAGATTTAATTACCATGTTTATTGGGACACCCTGTAGTTAAAAATTATTTCCCTTTTACTTTTTACTCCCCCCCCCCCCNATACTCTTCCTTTATCTTCTTATAATTATCCATCTTATACTCTTCCTTTATCTTCTTATAATTATCCATCTTATACTCTTCCTTTATCTTCTTATAATTATCCATCTTATACTCTTCCTTTATCTTCTTATAATTATCCATCTTATACTCTTCCTTTATCTTCTTATAATTATCCATCTTATACTCTTCCTTTATCTTCTTATAATTATCCATCTTATACTCTTCCTTTATCTTCTTATAATTATCCATCTTATACTCTTCCTTTATCTTCTTATAATTATCCATCTTATACTCTTCCTTTATCTTCTTATAATTATCCATCTTATACTCTTCCTTTATCTTCTTATAATTATCCATCTTATACTCTTCCTTTATCTTCTTATAATTATCCATCTTATACTCTTCCTTTATCTTCTTATAATTATCCATCTTATACTCTTCCTTTATCTTCTTATAATTATCCATCTTATACTCTTCCTTTATCTTCTTATAATTATCCATCTTATACTCTTCCTTTATCTTCTTATAATTATCCATCTTATACTCTTCCTTTATCTTCTTATAATTATCCATCTTATACTCTTCCTTTATCTTCTTATAATTATCCATCTTATACTCTTCCTTTATCTTCTTATAATTATCCATCTTATACTCTTCCTTTATCTTCTTATAATTATCCATCTTATACTCTTCCTTTATCTTCTTATAATTATCCATCTTATACTCTTCCTTTATCTTCTTATAATTATCCATCTTATACTCATCCTTTATCTTCTTATAATTATCCATCTTATACTCTTCCTTTATCTTCTTATAATTATCCATCTTATACTCATCCTTTATCTTCTTAGAATTATCCATCTTATACTCTTCCTTTATCTTCTTATAATTATCCATCTTATACTCATCCTTTATCTTCTTAGAATTATCCATCTTATACTCTTACTTTATCTTCTTACTAGCTCGGGAACCTAGCGTTGCCCAAGGTACTCTATACTCATAGTTACTCCTGCCGTTTACCCGCACTTGGTCGATTTTACCGAGGAACAAAATGTTTGCTATAAAAGTCGACCTACTCAACCAAGAACATTCCTGTGGCTCTCCCAAGTTCCCCAATTAAATTTGAGACAATTCGGTCAATGGGTTCCTGAGTTATGATCGAACAAACTGACAAACAAACAGAGATTACAACTTTACATACATAAAAAGGTACTCTGCAGTGGGGCTATTATCAAAGGATGATCACCAAAATATATGAAAGAGACTATTTACTTAATTTCAAGTGATCCTCTTTTTGAAAAAAGATTGACTTGTCCGATTCACCTTTACAAAGGTGTCCTTGAAGTCTTATCAACACTAAATGATTTGTCTTTTTCTCTGGCTGAAAATTTTAATTATTCTTAATTAAGGTTTCTTTGTAAAAGTGTGAATTTATGATGATGAGAGAAAGAAGGAAAGTTGTGAGAATTTTACACTTTTTCAGATAGGAACAAAAGTACAGACTTTTTTTCTGAAGAGAAATCGGGTGTGTGGGTCTATTTGGGTAAGCGCATGCCGCAAATACCATTTTGTGACGTCATTTGTGGATCGCAGGTAAATCGGCTGTGGGTCGCCTTCCCCCCATCTGCAGACAGTATAATATATTAATTAATTCAATTTTACTTTTTACCTTTGACAATTATTTTGTCATTCTTCAAATTTTATTTGATAAAAATCAAGGTTTTTTTTAGCCAACTTGTGTACCAAATTTCATTAATGGACATTTTATAACTTTGTTGAGGATTCTTTTTGATGAAAACTTTTATGAAAATGCATGGTAATTATGTCCTGTTTAAAAACTATTATTCTTAATGGTACACTGCATACATACATTAAATTTGTTAGAAAATTATATTGTTTTAAAATGTGCTTATTGAAACTAAGGGGTAAGTTAGTTTCGCTTGATTTATTGCAATTTTTATTTATTTTCTTATTTCCGGTCCAGGAAGAAACGTATTTCCGGGATTTGTTACAGCTGCGTGGAGACGCATCTTTATTTACTAATGACATTAGTTTGACCACTAAGACAGAGTGTTGATAAATATATAAAACCAAATATTTAGATTGTGGTTTACTAGTTCTCACACTGGGTTCTTCTGGTTGAAATATTAGTTGATCACGTGATTATACAACTGTTTATTAAATATTAAATAATTAATCTATTTTTAAAGATTGAATTATTTCATCATGATCTTTTTATTATGACCATTACAGTATTTGCTCTTCTCGGCATTCATTGGCAATTGTGAATAAGAATAAATTAATGTTTGTTTCGCAGTAAAAATAAATCACAAAAACCAATGATTGTATCTCTATTCCTTTATTTAGCGACCTAATCTCTTACACATTTGTTACTTTATATATACAAAAACAATCAATTCTGCTAAATGAAAAGGAAAAGGTTTTTATATCATAGGTTGACACTGTCAGGTTACAAATAAACTTAGAAATAAAAGTACGGAGTTTATTAATTTTTATTGGCAATTATTGTGTTTGAAACATTCATTACTGAAAGAACTCTTAATTAATGATAAATACAGTTAATTTTGCATGTCAAATTTTATTGTACAACAAGAACAAATTTTTGTATTTTGAATAATAAAATATTTTGAAATATTAAGATCAATTAAAACATCAAATCCACATCTGCCGCGGCATCAATATAAAATCACAAGCATGCATTTTAAAGTTGATATTAATCAAAACTTGTGTGCGTCAATTAGGTTTTTAAAAAGTTAATTTGGAGATTTGTGGTTGAGATTTATTTTCTAACCAATTCTAAAATTCCTAGAGTTTTAAATCCACTTTACAATTTTGTCTCCATTTAGTTTTTGTTTTGTCATTCAACAAAATTTGTTGGCTGATACAGAACGACATAATAAAATTTTAGGGATATTCAAATAAATTTTTATTATGTTCTATAGAATATTTGGAAAAACTTTCAATAAATTATAACATCATAAAATTATATCACAAACTCCCCCCCCCCTTAACGAAGTGAGGATGGGGGGGGGGCGTGGGATATTGTTAGCATGAAGTCAGAAAGGGGGGGGGAGGGGGTATAAGTGCCGAACAATTAGAAGGTCCCGGAAGAACAAAGATTTGAAGAAGAAGTATTCGACGAAATAACTTTGAAAAAAATAATTCATTGTACTTTCGTTAAAAGGACTGTACACGTTTTTTCTAGTGACCCTTTTTTGACGAGTTGGACACACAATTCGTTACATCAGTATTACTCTCCACTAATCTCCCCCTATTTCTTCGGCCAGAGTACTGGAAATCACTGCTGAACACGCCTAAAGCTTGGTTGAGCGTTTATACCTTTATCTGAATAACAAGAACGAAGATATCATCGTTTTCATCCGGACTTTTCTTAAGCAACCAAAATTAGAAGTCAACCATTTTCAGAGAGAAAGGTCTTAATGGTAAAATTGCGAACTGGATTTGTAATAATGCAAATAAGGGTTGCTAGAAATTACACTTAATGAGAATATTATATGTATTTTATTTCAATATATTTATTATGAATATTTAAGTATGTTTATCAGGCCACGGTGGGTAATTTGTGCGTAAAAACATCCATTAATGTTTACATGATAATATGACGCCTTATCCATAACGGTCTTTGTCTTCCTGCGTAATTATGCATGGAGAAAAGCGTATTCAAGCATGAAAGTGTACAGAGTACACAGACTGTAAACATTAATTAAATAATCAAAGGAATAGAATAATTGTTACAAACCCTGATTTTATAATCCCTATATCTTTGTAACCATATGAAGTAGACCTTATATATTTGAAACTATAAATTATGTTAGATGAAATAATCTAAGTTTAAATTATCAAAGGTTCTGCCAAGATATAGGGAAACAATTGGAGTTTTTGAAAATATTTATTATATTTTGACAACATTTGCCAGTTAGAGTAAAGAGTGAGAGAGTATTACAAAGATGCATCATCAAAAAAAAATTTATGGATTTTATTAAGACCACTCCAATATGGCCGACATAAACTTTTACTGAAATTACAGAAACGTACAGTGAACCGGAAATTTTCGGGAATGCATCCGACTGCAGATAACATACAAAGAACTCGTATTTATCATATTTTATAATGAAACCTGTGTCTTGTAATATGACTTGTAATTATTTTCATTTATGATGATCATGATAAATTGTATAAATAAACCTTTTCTGTTCACAGTTAAGTGGTCTTCAAAAAAGCTTAACAAAATTGACCGAAGTTTTGCGTATTTTTTGTTGTTGAAATTGCCAATTTTTGTTGTTGAAAATGAATTTCTATAAACTCTGTTAAAGCAGGGTGGACGTTTGCGGCTCATGGTGCAATTGCTTGAAATTTCCATGATGATGCGTTTTAATCATATTTATTTATTGGTCAATTATGATTTACATTTTTGATATTTGTTTTTTAACAACGCATTTGATTTATAGAGTCGATATTAATGCACAGTTTAATTACAGGAATAATAAAAATCTATATCTGTGTTTACGCATCTCTAAATATATAAATGTGAGACAGCTGATTAATTGTAATATCGGTATTCATAACCATATGTTTTTTCATTAATCAAAATATTAACCACGGGATTCACTGGTTTGCATCCTGAGATTTACAGGGATACCCACCAAATATAAGATTGTAAGAGTAATTTCAACGATACCCTTGAAACCCTTGAAAGCTATGTGTTTCCTGATTATTTTGTATTTTTATTTACACTTGCTGAATTCATTCTTGTAAATGACTGAAATCTCGAATAAATTCTTAAAAACTTATTATGCATTAATGACCTTTAAAACAAACATAAATTACAGAACTTTAAAAAATTTTCATCATTAAAGTTCTTTTTCCTACTTTAAATTAATTACTAACTAAACAG